AGGGGGCGCGGGCAGGGTTTTCGGGTCTTCTGCGGAGCCTCTCACTCCCGAGCTCTGCGCCCCTGCTCCCGGGGCTGCCGGGGGTGATCCCGTCGCGGGGGTGCAGGCTCGCCAAGACCTGGGTGGGCGGCTGGGCCGAGGGGCCTTTTACATCTCTGAACCCCGTTTTCTCACCTCGGCTTGTGCCCGGAGCCTTTGCAGTGATGGCCTGCGCGAACGCGAGTGGGTAAAACGCCGGTGAAGAGCGTGTTTAATACTGACTATTCCTGCCCTAAAACCCACGGGACAGACTGCAGGCCTCCGCGTGAAAAGCTGGCCATAGAATGGCGTTTCTCTTGCCCCAACTGTAAATTAAGGATGCCCACGGTGCCCTCCACACCCAGATGAGGGAACCGGTAAAAAGATGGCTCAGCCAGGCATGGGAGGAGGCCCACTGGGACCTGAGATAGAAAGAGACCAAGTTCAAGCCTAGCAGTTAAAAAAAAAAAAAAAAAGTGCTGGGAATGTGGCTCAGTCTTTCCTGAGTTTAATCCCAGTGAGGGGCTGAGAAGGGTGCAGCCACTCTGGGAGGTCTACTTTTACCAGCACCGCCGCCTTGAGCTCCTGGAAGCCAACTTTCTGCCGGTCTGCAAAGAACTGGCAGCGCAGCTGGGAGGCCTTGTCCCGGCCTCATCTTTAGAGTCAAGGCTTCTTTGCTGGGCTATGATGGCCTCTTCCTCGTCCTCGTCCTCGTCCTCGTCCTCGTCCTCCTCCTCCTCCTTCTTTGCCACACTGGGCATTGAAGCTAGGAATCTGAGCCTTCACACTGAGCTACATCCCCAGTCCCTTTTCTATTTTTTATTTTAAGATGGGGTTTCCTGAGTTGCTGAGGTACATAGGCTGGGCTTGAAGTTTTAATCTTACTGCCTCAGCCTTACAGAAGTGCTAAGATTACAGGTGTGCACCACTGCACCTGGCTTAAAGGTCCAAATCAGAAACTTATCTCTCTGGCACTTTTCAAAAAGAGGCCCTACTGAGCCAGATACCTCACCCCTTTAATAAGATGACAGTAGCTTTAAGAAAAAATAAATAAAATAGAAGGGTATCTGGAGCTGGTCATGCAGCAGGGCAGTCCCCTTCAGGCTGGGTGTGTGACTGTGCTTAGTTCCAGCAGGAGCGCGGCTTTAATTATTTCTCTGCACCCAGCAAGAGGTGGCCTCCAGAACTGGCTGTGACAGCCAGGCACACCCTCCAGGAAGGGGAGGGTTGTCTCCGGCAGCCGCCGACTCTCTGCCTGTGAAAACGCTGGCTCCAATTCACAGGTATCAAATATTTGCCTAGCTGTTCAACATTTCTTCCAATAATATACTCACAACTAATTCATATCTAGGCCCGACGTCTTCATCTCTCCCAGGCCTCCCTCCTGGATTAGCTGTCTTGTCTATTCTGGGAGAAAGTTGTCCTACATTCTAAAAATAGGCCCCAGAGCCTGGACACCAGTGGGCACAGTCGGTGGAAGCTTTTATTTATTTATCCTGAAAGCTGTCCTCTGGGGACAGCTGCATCCTAGCCTGGGGACACAATCATCAAACAGCCAGTGGTGGGTGTTCAGGTGCCTGAAGGAGCTGGGACCCCGAGCAGGCTGTGCTGGCTGCTGCCTTCCAAGAGAGGTTGTACTCCGTTCCCAAGGATGCCCTTTGACCTTTGAGGAGGGGGACAGCTTTTCACAGCAGCCGCAAGGCCCTCTCTTCTCCACCTAAGGCTTCTTTTCCTCTTTGAGGGTAGAAGCCCAGGATGTCCCTGTGCCATCAGGATCCAGTAGGAATAAAGGGGTTCTTTACCAGGGGGTCCCCAGAAGGAGGGCCAGCAGTCTGGGCCTAGTAGTAGCAGGACTGTGCCCATCCTGGAGCCACTGGGACAGGTCAGGCGTCCTTACCTGAATCTGGAGCTCAAGATGCTCAAAGAGCATGGGACAGGAGTGGCGACCTCTGGAGAAGGAGCTACCCCACTACACATGTCCACTCTCCACCAGGGTCCTGCCAGCCCCCACCCTCCAGCCCAGCTCATGCAGAAGGCAGAGGGAAGATCCATACGGGATGTGTCTAAGAGCAAGGTGCACTAGGTAGGTGGAGAGGGGCAGAGGGTGTGCAGGGCAGAGAGGAGCCAGGCCACTCTCTCACAGCCTCCCCAGCTCCCCAGCCTTTCTGTCTTCCCTCGTGCTGTCACTGTCCCTTTCCCACCATCTTGTCCCGGACACCCTTCTGTTCTCCTCTAGCTGTACCCCTCCGCACTTCTCGGATGTGTGCCATCCACTCTCCCAAGGGATCCAGTTGCAACGGGCACCTGAAGGACTCTGCTGTCGCCTGCCACCAAGAGAAGGCGGGGAGCAGCGGAGCCCTGGGCACAGCTTCATTTGATTCTCCACTCTCCCCCCTCTGAACTGCTCTAGATGAAGCCAATCAGGATCACTTTCTTTTCATTACTTCAAGGACTCCCTCATCCAGACCCTCTCCTGTTTTTCCTTGCTTTGGCCTGGAATTAGCAAGGAGGAGTGAGTTCTCTGTGCCTGTAGCCCTTATTGAGGGTTCCCACTGTTTGCCCAGCCACAGATGTGATCTGGGGGCCTCTGTGCCAGCGTGCAGTGCAGCTTGGCAGGAGCCCGCCCCCCCAGGTATGCAGTCGGCACTGACAGGCTCAGCCTCTGCTCCCGGCAGAGCAGAGAGGGTGGCTGTGTGGTCCACCCAAGCCTCAGTTTCTCCTACCTATTAGGGTTGACCATTCCTACCTCACAGGGTTGCCTGAGTGTAACACAAGCTCACAGAGGCTTGTTGGTATTATTAAGTGACAAGGATTTTGACCATCTCTCTTTCCTCAGCACCCACAAAAGGTCCAGAGCCTCTTTGGAGGCTGAGGATACAGATCTGAGACATCAGGAGGAGCTCAGCATCTCTGCTGGAACTGATGTGGGCTTCTCAGGCCTCCTCTGCCAGCTCTGGTTTTACATGGAGTGAAACAGTGCCCGGCATGAATATCGTCTCACGTCCACTCGTGAGGGAACCAACCTCTGATAACAGATATCCCCACAGCACTGAGAAAAAGCCCGCTCTCCTAATCATGGATGATATATACAGCCAGCTAATGCAAAATGAATGTTCATGTTATTTTTGCTTATTTTTAAGTCCGTTGGGTGCATCGTGGCTGATCGCTGTTCTGACATTTTTCTTCCCTCATTAAGAAAGATGCCCCCAGTGAGTTACCTGTGCCGGGCTCAGAGCAGAAAATAAATATCGCTGGCATCCACTTTCTTGTGCTCTCTGGGTGTAATTAAGGAAAAGGCACCTGGAGAAGAGCAAAAGGATAGAGTAGAAAATGGGCTGGTGGGTACTGTTCACAGGAACTTCCAGTCTCTAAAGCCATCCTATGTCACCCCTTCTAAGACACCCTCCTACATCTGTTGTCGGGGAAGCCCCCATCTTTGAACGGTAATACTCTTCTCTTTTCCACTGGGGCTTTGTTTTTCTCCCTAAATCCGGCTCTTAGTCCAGCTGTAGTAAAACAGTCTTTTTTTTTTTCATTATTTAGAGAATATTTTATTAGTTTCTGTAATCAAACCCACGTAGATATGACCTTACATATTAATGTGTTACCCCTGTACACGTGGAAAAAATAAAAATAAAAATAAAAATAAACTAACATTTCTAGACCGATATGGTTGTCCATTTCTGTACAATGCCAAGTCAACACAGTAAATTGGGATGACTTTTTCCAAAGTTGGCAGCACCGTTAAAGTTTCCCAAAATTCAATTTATATATATATGTGTGTGTAGACTAATAATAGTATGTTATGCATCGATAGCAGCAACAGCTTTTCCAGGTTCTGCAGTCATCTGAACAAAATTATAGATATTCAGCACATTCCATTACAAAAAAAAAAAAAAGAAAAGAATAATATCCAGACAACAGCAAAGTTCTGTTGCTGCTGTGGTACCTGGCACCATTTTTTCTATTAGCCTCTTAATCATCATCTGGAAAGAGAACATTCTAGAGTAATATCATTAAATGTAGCTCTGATACAGCACGGTCCCTACTATGTATCATAAAGCAGGTACTGGATATTTTACAGTCATAGAGGTATGATACAGTACTGTCCTACATCAATAATACTAGATTCAGTTTTGGTTTGAAATTTACTTTGTCTGCAAATAAGATTGCTACCCCTGTTTTTTTCTGGGCTCCTGTCACATGGAGAATTGTTTTCCACCCTTTCACTTTCAGTCTATGGGCTTCTTTTTGCACTAGGTGTGTTTCTTGTATACAACATATTATTGGATTTTGCTTCTTATTCCATTTTGCCAGTCTATTTCTCTTTGTAGTAAACAGTCTTGTTCCTTCCCTTTTTCAAAGCACCCTGTTTTGTTTGTTTTTTAGGAGACTCACGCTTCGTTGGAAGACCTTGTGATTTGTTGGCTTGTGCCCTGGTGGGGGATAGGGTGGAGGGGCATCAATTAGGACAGACCAAGGAGAGAATGCCCCCTCGCCGGGCCACTGTGATTGGCTCACCGTGATACGATAAAGAGTTGAGAAGGAAACCCAGAACTTGTCAGGGAAGCATTTCCTGAGAATCTCTACTTTCTCAAAGTCTCACAGCCTGGAGCTAAGGCCATCTTTGACACCACTGGGGAGAACTTGTCTGAGAAAGAAACCAACTCGGAGGACAGCGGAGCCTCTGGGGCAACCAGAGTCCTGACGTCATTGTTTGGGGCACTGGACCCAGGGCTCGTGAAATGTTCAGAAGGGCACTGCCGTTCCCTGCTTTCCCCATCCACATCATGCCCAGTACTACTCCGGAAGGGACAGTGTTTGGGCACCCTGGGTACAGGGTCTTGTGGTCTTCCTGGTTCTCAGTTCTCAGGGGCTGGTCAGGGTCACAGTTACTATGGTACTTTCCTTTGGCGCTTCGTACTGCTCCGGAACCTGCAGCCCACCACAGCGGGGCTGGTCCACTTGTTCTGGGACCACGCTTGTCATCTTCACACTGGGCTTTGTTATTGTTGTTCTTTCTTTTTTTTTTTCTCATTGAGTTTATTGATACATTTTAGGTATACAGTACAGTTAGTTACATTCATCATGGGAATCTTATATCCTTACATGACAGGTCTTGGTTCTCATTTTTTTCCCATTTCCCTGCCCTCCCTTCGCCCCTTTCTTCCACCCCTCTTCACAAAGACTTTGCTTCCATTTGTTTTCTTTTCTCACACTTTTTCTTGTCCCTTATTACCTTTCCCCCACCCTTCCCACTTTCCCTCCACCTTTAGCCCTTTTCCTCCTATTTCACATTGTCAGTTGTACCACTTGGCTCTTATTTACACTTTTAGCTTTTCACATCAGAGAAACTATTTGGCATTCCCACATGTGTGTCTTATTTATTTCACTTCACACTGGGCTTTTATCTTTCAAATTTGGAAAAGTCTTCAAGTATTGAATGCAAGGCTCTCTTTACAATCGGAATCTCCCTTGCCTCTGCTTGGAGTTCCCTTTTTCTCCCAAGACTTTCGGACATGACCATCAAACCATGAGCACCTATTAGGCCCTGACTGTGCATCCCATGGATAGAGGAACCCCCAGTAGCACACTTCTGGTCCAAGTTTAGTTTCTGTGGCTACTCTTTCATAGGAGGATCCTCTTCTTTTCTTTCTAGCAATTACCATGGTGATCACTGACAAGAGTTTGTTTATTGGCTTCACTGTCCCTTCATGGTCGCTATCATCATCCTCCTCCTCATCGTCATCATCGTCATCTTCATCAGCTCTCCAAAGACAAACTCCGACTGTTTTCCCCTTAAGCATGCCAGCAGGTAGCTGAGTTCAGCACAAAGCAGCCCCTCACCAAACACCCGTGGGATGACTTGGGTGGGCAGTTTGGAGTCTGCCTGGGGCCTGCCTGGGGGACTGAAGGGATCCAAACATTGCCTGCCCTGACAATTGCTCCACATCGTTTGGCACACGACTGGGCTCCATGACAGGTGAGTAACAAATGCTCATTGTCCCCCAATAGGGAAGGGCTTGCGCTGTACAGTGTCACAGCATCCCACGTGCAGTGACCGATCTCAGATGTGAAGCGGGTGGGGGATGGGCAGCGTACCCAAATGGACTACCTGGCGCCCGCCCAGCGCGCGACTCCATCCCACAAGGGAGTGACATTTTCATCCTGAGAGTGCACGTCCGTTGTCCCTGTGTTATTCACAACTGGCCTCTGGTCTTTGGGGCCAGGAACTTGAGGCTCTAGAGGAGTGATGGAGGGCATTAGCCATGGGTTCCAACCTCAGCCTCCTTTTTTTGTTTGTTTCATTTTGTTTTTTGGTACCAGGGATCGAACTTGGGACCTTGCGATTGCGAGGCAGGCAGTGGAACCACTGAGCTCAACCCTGGGCTTCTCCCAGCCTACTTATGAGTGAGCAGCACGGCTGAGTCCCTTAACCTCTCCAGGCTCACTTCTGTACCTGAGATGGGCAACCTGAGTACCCCAGCAGGCTGAAGGACATGGGGACACTGAGAACACTGCTAAATCGTCTGCATGGCTGCCCCACACTTGCCTCCTCGGGAGCTCCTCGCCTGGAGGAAAGGAGGCAGCAGCTGTCTGCGTCTGTGTTGGCTGCGCGTGGGGCTCTCTGCTCCCCCAGCCCCGAGCTCCTGCCCTCGTGATGCTCAAAGAGTATCTGTTGAAGAATGTGTGAAAACTAATAAGAAGCCATGCAGCAGCTATAGAGACAGCAAACCACTTTGTGAAGTTCCCCAAATCCCCCGCCGCTCCTCTCGCCGGTCCAGAGAATGCCGGTTCTGTCTTGGGGACCAGCCAGCCCGAAGAAGGAGGCCGCAGATGCGGGGCTAATCGTGTCCCGGGATGCCCACACATGGCCCGCGCCCGGGAGCGCGGCTCCCCCTCAAGCAGCTCGTGTTAGCCCGGCTCTGATGGAGCCTGACTGGCAGGGGCTCCCGCCACCCCTCTACCCCGCTGCGCCGTCCAGTAGATGGGGATTTAGCAATTCATAGGCGCAACTCCGCTCCTTCCACCTGCGGACGCAGCCTGCTAGTGTGCGGCTGTCGCTCGGAATTCAAGATGCGCCATCAGGGCTTCTTAACCGGGCCGACGGGTCTGAGCTCAGCCAAAGCCGGAGCTACGGGGCTGCTCCAGTTTTCATCCGATCCTCTGACACCCAGTTCCCCAGAGCACAGTGGCTCCCTTGGAAGCTGAAAGAGTCCGAATTCAAAGCCCCAGATACCTGGCATCTGGGGTCGCTTTATGGTCTTGTTTATATATGGGAAACCTTGCTCTGAAACCCACAGCTTCACAGACATTCACACACCGCCGGACCCCACCAATACCGCGTTTTCAAAATGCTCAGAGCCCTTCCCGAAACCTGCCTGGGAGATGCTGTCTTGGGACCTTGTTCCTAATGAGTTCTAGAGAGCTCTTCCTAATTTCCTCCCCCCCCCCCTCCCAAATACAACACTGACAATTTGCTGCCTCTGGTCTTCCCAGCAGCAGGGGAGTGCCTTGAATATGTATGGGCCCCGTGCTATGCTGGAAAAGCCGCATGCAAAGGGCCACAGGGCCACAGAGCTGGGAGGCAGAGTACAGGGAACTGGGGCTGGAATCAGGCGCCTCCTTCCAGGCCTGGCCCTACCACTTCGGAGGGGACGCTGCGAAGTCTCTTTACTTTGGTTTTATCAGTAGAATGGGAGCAGCGGTCTCTTTGCTTGCCAGGTGTACATCTCCCAGGCAGGCTGCATAAATGCTGAGGTGAGAACGTGTTGGCCCTCAGATGGGGCAGAAGCAAGAAAGCCACTGAACCCTGCAGCCGCCCCCTGCGCTTGAGCTTCCTCTTCTCACTGTTAGCTGTGTGCCCTCAGGGGTGTTAGATAACGTCTCCGTGCTTCCAATGCCGATAAAATGAGGATATAAGAAAGCCTCTAGCTGGGTGTGGTGGTGTACACCTGTGATCTCCGCACTCTGCGAGGCTGAGGCAGGAGGATCCATCAGAAATTTGAGCCCTGCCTGGGCAATTTAGCATCTTATCAAGACCCTGCCTAAAAAGGGCTGGGAATGTGGCTCAGTGGGAAGGTTCCGATTCAGTCCCCAGCACACACACACACACACACACACACACGTTCCTGACACCTTGACCTTGTTGGATTTTCCTTTGAGGATTAAATAAGCACATAGGAGTTGGTCAGCCCATGTCCATAGGTGGTGCCTCCTGGTCAGTAATGTTAGCCTAGGGAAGTGGTGGTGAACCTATAGCTTGAGTGCTGTTTATATCATTGAACGCCCTAAAAGGTTTGCCATCAGTGGCCTAGGGCACAGTCCCCTTCAAGGTGACCTGGCCAGTCAGGGTCCTCTTCACCTGAAGAGCCTTCCTCTAGCTCTGCTCTGCAAGTTTGGCCTCTGCAGGGCTAAGAGAAGCCCAAGCCACTTCCAGTATCTTAGACCATACAGCAAGGCCAAAGCAAAGTGCAGCATTAGGGTAAAC